ATAGTTGGTGGAACTAGCTCTTATCGCCTAAACTTATTTGTTTACTTTTGTCCTCGAAACCATCTAGAAAGATGTATAGAGGCACCGAACGATCTGTTTCATTCAAAACTGGAGACTGAGCACGAATAAGTAATGATTCTTTTATACTTTCTCTTGTTATTCAACAAAAAAACGTGAACATGCTCTTTGGAGGCAATAATTCTCATGCACAGACGGTGCAACATGTGAATGATAAACACAAAGAGACGATACATGTAGTTATCAATAATCAAATAGGCCGGCGCCTAGACGAATACCGAACACAACTTGAAGATTATGCTCATTGGATATGCTCAACATGGCGAGACATTACATTGATAATGTGTATTACGGTAGTCGTCCTCTTATTGACATATGTTATTATAAGATTTGCGTTGACAAGTAAACTTAAAAAATGGACATTCTTATGAAAAGCGATGTCAACACATCAACAACAAATCCCCCTAATTCCACCAATATACACTATACCAATGGAACAATATGAGGCATTCAGAAGAGTGGAACCGAGCAGCCAAGGCAGCTGAAACATGCTACACCTCAAAAAGGTGAACATTAACAGTTTATTCCCAGACAGGAATAATACATGGTTTTTTAGGCAAAGAGACTACTTGGACAAGTACAAAAACAAGTGCAATATGAGTACAAATTCCTTTATGGCAATTATCAGAAGAAAAAACGAAAAAAGGATGAGTACAAATCTCACCATGTCAATAAGTGCAAATTCCATCAAACCCACTTCGATAATCACCAGAACATCGAAAGACATTTTTTTCTATACTTATAAAGACGACAAGTGCAAACGCCATCGCTTGGCAAGTGAAAATTGGCTTCACTTTCTACTATGTCATCAATTGATCCTTCAATCCTTTGTCTTCTGTTTCGAAAAAATCATATAAACGCGAAAACATCTCAATCAATGTGTTAATGAAAAATTATACTCTTGGATAATGAATTACGTTGAACGTCATCAAACAATTCCGGTTTGGATTTTTAAAAAACTGGTGATCAATTATAGTAAATGAAAAAAATAGTAGAGAAAAGTTGACGATTAGTTATACTGATTTAGCCACAATTTCTTAACGATTCAATAATGTAAAATAAGTTGTTTTGATTACAGTTTCGCATGATCATTTCTGCCGGAAATCATACTGGGCCATGTTGTTAGAAAAATCGTTTCCCGTCTTTTTAGCTGTTCAAGTGCTCCTATCAACATGCGAATGTCATACATGACAATATGTCGTCGCTAATAAATAAGTTACTTCATATCTCACTTTGCAACCAAATCACCTGGTCATAAGAACTGTTAGTCTCTTTCTGGCAATCATCAACTGAGGCTATCACTAGAATATCTGCTCAATACACAGAATCACTTACTAATATTGTCCCATCCCCACAGAAATTCGGATTAAATTCTTTCACTGTTTTATTTTATGTACACATTTAACGAGATGCGAAATCAATCTGACATTTTTGTTCTATATCCGATATGAATGTCATAAAAACTAACTCTAACTACGTACTTTAACAATGAGTCTAAAAGAAAAAGAAAAATTATATTATTTGATCAAAAAAATCGAGAAACTGAATTAGTACGAATTTTAGTAGAAGTTATCACTGATCTTTTAGATGTGTTTTGCTTGTAAACCACAATAGTAATCTTTTTTCCATGTATATTCATCATAGATACATTTTGGTCTAATCCAGTTCTCAGTTACATCAAATTCGTTTGGTTTAATTTCTTTATATATTAATCCTGATGGATTCCTTTCATCAAGTTGTTGATGTTGTTTCATTAATTGAGGATTTTGCAAAAGTAAATAATTAAATATGTTTTTGTATTGATCTGCAAGTATGCGAATATATTTGTTAAAATATAATTCTGAATTATTTGGATATAAATGTGCATACATACGATAGATATTAAATGTGTTCTTTAATATATCTTGTTCATAGCTCATGAGATCCTCAGCAGATTCATGCATTATTTCACGATAATATAAACACTTTAATAGCTCATCGTCATAGGGCTGATTGGTCAATTTATACAATATCAAATCTAATAATCTGATGTCAAACGAACGAAGCGAATTACATTTTTGAACTAAATCTTCATTTAATGGATTATTACTATTTGATTCTGTGAAAGAACTGACACAATATTGTTCCAACTTATAATATAATAAAGCGTCATGTAATTGTCTATGTACATAATTGTCATAGAAATTATGATTTTTCAAAAAATAAAACAAGGTAGATAACTGATAGTTTCTGTTAACATTATCGAAAAATTCATTATCAGATAGTATATTTTTATTAGAAAAATCAAATTTGAATCGTTTTTCGTTCTCATCAGCCTCTTCATTAACCTCATCGATTAAATAAATCGCACTTTCTACGAATGTTAAAATGTCCATATAGGTCATAAAATCTTTGGGTTCTAAATTATGATAATACATATATTGACAACTGATATATTCTAATACCCTTCGTGCTTTTCTTAATCCATGAAATGATAACACAACATTATGATCAGGATTTAACTTGTTGCGCAATGTTGTTGCGGAGTAACCTTGATTAAGTATTTGTTTTGATCGAAGACGATATAATGTGGATACAATCTTTTTAAAAAGCTCTTTCATTTCTTTATGATAGAAATAGATCAAATCACTTTAGTATTCTAAATCAGTACTATCGCAAACACAAAATCAACTTTTGTACTGATTTAAATTCGAACACATGAAAATCTAAGAATAAATGTAAGATGGACCGGCCAACACGAACTCATAGAAGATCTGAAGATAAAGCACAGAAACTAGCTGTTGTAAACGACAAAAACAAAGAAATCATTGAGCTTGATCGATCACTTATATATTAAGTTATGCATTCATTTAAAAGTATCATATAACCTCATAAGCAAGCGATGTCTGGAACAAGCATGTTGTTTGATCTAACTTATACTGTTACCGAGTACTATACTTTTAAAAAGTAGCGTTACATATAGTTCGATATATTTTGCATGAAAGAATCATCATCCATTAGCATACAGTTTGTGTAACTAATGTTTTGTTTCTTCGAGAGAAGGGCTTATTGCTCTTTGAATAATAAGTGTCCTTGTAACTTAAAATTGTTCGAAAGCTGATTCATTTTCATAGAAAAAATGAAATTGATTTCTTTTCATGGAATATAGATCGAAAACACAAGGCGATCAACACTATTCATTAATTCTTTAGTGTTCTTCAATTCTAAAGTATTTGATTTCGATGTTAAAATGTTCTTGTTTACAAGGACATGAGTTATTGTTCGTTATTCAAGGAATGATGTTAAACCGTCCTAATCCAAATTACGTTCCACTGCGACAGTTTGAAAATTCTAATGAGTGATAGCTTGAGCTGTTCGAAACGTGGAAATTAGTTTAATCAATAAATACAAATAAACTGAAGCTTAAACGGCTGCTGTTAGATTCTAATGATGAAAACGTTGTTAGTCACCTTCTACTAAAAACTTTTCTTCTGTTGCGGGTGAGGATGAGAGTTCAATTTTATGAGAATTTTAGTGTTGTTGACTGGAATTAGCGGCCTGTTTTCTCGATAAACGTCTTAGTTTTGACCCGATCACATTCTTTCCCAATGTTCTAATTGTTTGTGTCAACCGTTTCAATCAGTCGACTTTCGAAACTTCTGGAAGGATGGTTTGCTCTCTAGTTCTTTCTTTCTTTCTTTCTTTCTTCATTTCTAGAGTCTTTTTTCATTGGATTTAGCTAGTCGGTTTCAGTTATTCATAAGCGTATAGATTTCGGAGAAAGATGATTGGAAAGTGCAGAGATCATAGATGACACATATGAAGTTAGTTTCGAGATGTCTGTTTTAGTTATGCGATAATTAGTTCCAAAAGATGAGCAAATTTTATCCAGAACTCACGAGGGAACCCCACGAAGTGATTAAACGCTTTTTGCTCGGAATCTAGTGGGTTATAGGCTATCGACCATGCTGATTACGAATACGACCATGCGGCTTCCGCACATACTCATATTATAGGCTATCGACCCGCACATTTCTGATTAAAATGAGGCCTCTCCCAACTCCACATGACCTTTCTTTGCAAAGTTATAGAATTTACAACAAAAGCCCTAAATGTTCATTGTCAGCTAAAAGCTACAGAAATAAGAAGAAATTAATTTAGGGCTCTTCGTGTAAATTCTATAACTTTGCAAAGAAAGGTCATGTGGAGTTGGGAGAGGTCTCATTTTAATCAGAAATGTGCGGGCTACAATCATGTCTCATTAAGAACGATTCGGGTTATTTTTTGGGGTTTCTGAAAAACTCGTTTTCTAGAAAACCAGGTCCTCGAAGGGCTATGCGGAAGCCGCATGGTCGATAATCTATAACCCACTAGATTCCGAGCAAAAAGCGTTTAATCACTTCGTGGGATTCCCTCGTCAGTCGCTTTCTCTATGAAATAATTAAGTGTCACGTGATACTTCGGTGAATACACGCTATATAACGCTACTTGATATTGTGTAGCAGAATATGTGCTTTTTCGATTTAAAATGTTTGATACATTGTCACAAACAGAATTTGTTTTACTTTTATGATATTACTATGCTTATTGAGTGTTTGTGGATTACTCGAACGTTTTCTTTTCTCAAACGTTGCATTAGCTTTTCTGTCCTGTTTTCAAATATGGTACAATCATAGTAAATGTATATATGCATCTATCTTCGTTCTTATTATTTTGGTTGTTGATAAAATGCTTCCGCTGCTTGCTGTTGGTTTTCGGTACTATGTTGTCCTAAATTTCTGATTTTTCTTACCTACATGTCCGTTGTATGCGCTGTAGTCACCTGTGAATGAACTCTCGTTGCAATTGATATTTCGGGTTTTAGGGAATGTGCAGAGTGAAGATCCATATCCGAGGGTAGACGGCTTTTAACGATTCTTGCGAAAAAGACGAAAAAGAAAAGTTTTCAAAATTTTCAAACAATTTCAATACAACAAATTATTTGTATTCCGACTTTTAGAGCTTTAACCTGGTTTTCTAGAGATTCTCTAAAAAACCTGCCTTTGAAAAAGATTTTAAAAGTGACATTTTTGATGCAACATGCAATCAGGTTCTGACTTTCCATTAGTGAAGACCACGAGCATCTCACCGCTTTTCTGTCAAATGTTATTCAGAAAACATCGGTGGCCACTCTACTTTGAAATTGATGGTACTGAGAAAATGTTCGATAGGCTCGATAGGAAAATGTTCGAGAAGGCCCTCATAACTAGACTATTCATATTGTTTGCAGTTTATTCGAAAATCTCTTACTAATAATTTGAAAAAGAAAAACATCAAAGTTTCGGTTTTATTATTGATTTCAGCTCAATTCATTTCTTATTTATTTTATTAATTTTTAATCTGAGCTATCGATTTGAAAGCTTAGATTAAAATTAATAAAATTAATGAGAAATAGATTTAACTGAAATCGATAATAAAACAGAAACTTCTACAATAAACGTTCTACCATTAACAAAAGTCAAAAGGAAAAATATCAAGAAAAAATTGGTAAGGATGAAAAGTTCCAAAGTCTATAAAAGATGTGATATCAGATTGATATATTATGATAATTTACTAAATTTTTGTATACGACTATTCTCACCATCCAGAACATACAGATTCGATGATGAATCAAATGCAATTTCATAGGGAAAATTTAATTCTGTTGCCGAGTTCCCCGTTTTACCCGTGCCAGCAATCATTGTTCCTGTCTGACTGCTTTGACAATAAACCATAATACGTGCATTTCCTGCATCATTAACATATAATAGTCCCGATTGGGAATCGAAATAAACACTTGAAGGTAGAAACAACAGTGTTGAAGATGATCCAGCTATTCCTGATACACCTGCACAAAGAATGTAAGTGTGAGTCACTAAAAACTAGAAGCACAGAGATACCAATAGTGAATAGTACACATACCAGCAATCACAGTACCACTACTAGCAAATGGTTTCCATTTCAAAATTGTATTTGCTTGTGCGTTTGCTATGTACAAATAATCGGCTGATGAATCATAATATACACCATACGGCAAATTCAAATCCCCAGAGGTTGCTCCCTATGTAATACAAAAATCGTCTTTCTTGCAGCACAATTTCCAAACAACTGATTCACAAGCTGGCATTGATGAAAAGTTAAAATTTGCTTTCAGACGTGGTTCTTGAAGATACGTAGAAACCGAAATTTCCATTAGACATCTCCAAGTTCTACGTGACAAATGGTACTAGGGTTCTCTGTTGTTTTTCCCCGAAATAGTCTAAACTAAAGCTTAAAATGTTTCACTTGGAAAAAATGAACTTGTGCTTATGTAATTAACTCCTTCGAAGATCTTATTGTCTACAACAGGCTAAAATGGACTCTGAAAGATCTATCATGTTAGTATAAATTGCAGAGTTCACTCCCTTCTGTCACAATGCATCAGCAACTGCATTAAATCTATCATAGATCAAGAGATATTTCGTTAACAATATTAATAAATACTGGTCACAAAAACTAAGAGACGTACGAGATTTTATAGAGAAGAAACATTTTATTGATAATACATGAATTTTACCTTCTCTTGTTACATTTGTTTACTAGTCTTATCTGCAACATAGTCAGCATACTATTACCGATAAGAGTATGAGAAACTGCGCTACTGCTAGCGAAATTCGTCTCTGGAACTCAGATTTTTATCAAATTTTCGAATTTGTCAAAGATGACTCATTAAGAAAACTATGTACAGCTACTTACTGCAACTACAGTTCCATTGTTCCCACTCACTGCAGTCGACGGAAACCGTATAATTCGATTATTGTTTGTGTCAGCGATATACATATACGTTTCTGCGCTATCAAATGTCAAATGGTTTGGCCCATCTAATGAACTTAAATCAGCACCAGGTGCATTAATATTACCAACTGCTACTATACTACCAGCGACAGTCAATGTACTATCAAATTTTATGACACATGCTGTAAGGCTATCTGGTACATAAACATTGCCTAACTGATCAATATAAACGGATTGTGGTGCAACATTTTGAGTCATACTAGGAATATAAGACGATTTTACTGTTGCACTGGTTGCCATAGAATAAACTTGGGGATTATCAGCAGCATCTGATATGTAAAGGACATCGTTCCGAATATATAAACCTGTTGGTGTATCTAAGACTGCGTCGCTCAGAATGGTGATGCCAGTGCTATTCCAAGTGTGTGTGATATTGCCTATATGCAAAGACAACAACATTACAAAAAAAATATAAAATTTAATTCAAACTGATTAAGCTTTATTTAGCGAACAATGCCATTACACTTTCAGTCTAGACTATTCTATAACAAATCGATCTGAAATGTTTTTCAGTTTGAAAACATTTACAAACTGTAAATTTCGAGTTTAAAAAGAACTTTCGACAAAATTTTATTGTCACGTTGTTGGAGTTAGGCATGCAACAATCCCAAGCCAGGGCTCACTGATCGGCACCGAACATGTTCACTACCGATCAGCGAGTCCTAGCTTGACATTGTTGCATGTCTAGTCTGGACAAACGACAAATGGAATGAAATTTAAGTTTTTGAAGGAACTAACCGGCGAGAAAATAGACCAACTAAAGTACAACATGAGTGAATGTGTGTCCTACCGGATTGCTACCGAACATGTTGGTGAAATGGTTCGCTACCAAAGGTTTAAAAAAACTAGTTTGTCAAAGCTAGAACGTGAGAGCGAAACAATACATGAAAGAAATTTCGGTAAAACAGAAAAAATGGTTAAAATTACACCATACGAAGGAAGAGCCATGATTACGCTGTAACCGTAGATAGTCATGTAAAGAAAAGTTTGAGTTAGAGCAGCAATTTTTGTTTGCTTTGGTCCAGGAAGTTCAAAGTACCTTTAGGTCCCATTATATCTTATTTACTCTCTAACTAACGCATACTTTTACTAATATGGCCTCTGTAGCAGATTGATTTACTTTATTTTCATCGAAAAATGCTTTTCCTCACTGTGCAAATAAAGTAGACAGAAAGGTGCAGCCCTAATTCGAATGCATCTTTATAAGGTTTATGGTATTTTGTCCTAATACTTCCTCAACAGAGCGCTCGCCGATATCTCAGATGAGAAAAATATAAACTATCGTATTTGCAATCTTCGCCCGGACACTTTCGATCGCCTCAAGTTTCCAGGCAGAAGACATTCGATGACCGGACATGTTTGGTTACGAACGGTTCGGTCACCGAACTATCGAATTGTTGCATGACCAGTTGGAGTTAATGTGCTATGTAATTCAAAAATTCTTTCTTTTCTTTTTCGAAAAGAAATGAGCTCTGATATTGAATTTCGAGGAGGAAACAGAGCATTATAGCCAGTTGCTGTCTCGCTAAACGTGTAGAAGACTAAGGACGATAAGGCTATTTTTCGAAAAACTATATGGTTGTGGCCTTAAATTCTGTGTGGAATTGCTCAAGATCGTTTTTCTAAGATTAAACAAATTTTTGCCTTTTTTCTAGGTCCTCTCAGAAATTGCTGAAAACTTTTTTCAATTTTTCACGCAAATTTGATCTAGGAATATAGAATCGCTATGTTGATCATGAATATCAGATTCAAAAAGACGGAAAAATTTCAATTAAAAGTGAAGAGGAAAGCTTTTAAAATTTACCCTTTCCGTATACTAAGTCATTATTTGTTCGCATTTTCTCTCACAATATAAATCAGTAACCGTGAAAGTAGCCCCAAATATGTATTTCGATGAGCTTTATCTAAGGGGGAAAAAACAACACTACACTACACTACAAGAGATTTTCCACTACACCCCACTACAAGTCCACTACACCCCACTACATGTCCAATACACCCCACTACATGTCCACTACATTCCACTACATGTCCACTACACCCCACTACATCCTACTACATGTCCACTACACATTCATTACATGTAGTGAAAATTCCTAAAAGTGAGCAAGAGCGACAATAAAATATTTCTAGTGGACTATATCAATGCTAATAGCTTGTCTTTTCGTTTATTTCTGTATCCGTGATATAATAATCCATTGTGAATCAGTAGTCATTTTGCAACAAAAGAACTCGTTTTCTAATGAAGTTTTGACTAGACAAATAA